TACCGTCCCCTCCCCCTCCTCCTTTTTCCCCCAAATAAGTGGCGATTCAGCGGAGTTTCTTGTACGTGGTACAGAGATGGTGGACACAAGGACAGGAAATGTCATGGAGTTAGGGGAAGCAAACTGTTGTGCGTTCCGCACCGGCTCTCGGCGTCCTCTTTCAAGGTATCTTGTTTGTACACATTTGTCAGAATCAAATTTTTTTTTCTTCTTTTGTATGTAAAACTGAAAATATGGATGTATATGACACAATAAATGGAGACCATCTTCTCCCTAGAGATCTCTACGCTGCGTGTCGCTAATTTACAGAGCACGTGACGTTGTTTACTGTTTGTGTATGTAAATGAGGAAAGAGAAGGTGATGGCTTCCCGGGGGTGGAGGGAAGGGTAGGGCTGGAACACTTGGGGTCGTCTCATTGGTATGATGGTATCTGAACATGGTGTCGAGATTCTGGTCTGGCACCTTCTTCACACCAAAGATGGTGGTATCAGAAGTTGAACAGGGTGTCAAGATTCTGGTCTGGCACCTTCTTCACACCAAAGATGGTGGTATCTCAACGGTGTCAAGCTTGTGGTCTGGAAGCTTCACACCAAAGATGGTGGTATCTGAACAGGGTGTCAAGATTCTGGTCTGGCAGCTTCTCCACACCAAAGATGGGGGTATCTGAACAGGGTGTCAAGATTCTGGTCTGGCACCTTCTTCACACCAAAGATGGTGGTATCAGAAGTTGAACAGGGTGTCAAGATTCTGGTCTGGCAGCTTCTCCACACCAAAGATGGTGGTATGTGAATAGGGTGTCAAGCTTCTGGTCTGGCAGCTTCACACCAAACATGGTGGTATCTCAACAAGGTGTCAAGATTCTGGTCTGGCAGCTTCTCCACACCAAAGATGGTGGTATCTCAACAGGCTTCTGGGTTGTAAAGAGTTTCAACTGTTTCCTTTCTCTTACTAGCAGGTATAGGTAGGAGACGGCAAATCCTAGAAGACTCTGACTTGGCCCAATGGTACAGGTGAGATTATTGCGAAGCGAGGTAGTATAAATGAAAGCCAGGGAACGTCAGTCCTCCGCTATTCAAGGGGCAGCACCACCGTCTCCTAATTAAGCTCGTGTCTCCCCTTACCCCGTAGCACATAGAGGATCTTGGGAAGATGCGCCATTTTAACCAGATTCAGTCTACCCATCACACCATGGGGCAGCCGTGACCATATTTGAGTTTTAGTTTTAAATAATTGGATAAGAAGTGCAAAATGTAATTTAACAACCTCGGATAGGGATCTAGATATCTGTATGCCTAGGTAAGTGAGGACAGAAGTCCTAGCTTAGAGGAAGGGTAGGGGGAAGGCAGTCAAGGCATAGGATCTGGGATTTGGACTAGTTAATAGGCAATCCTGAGTGCTGACCATATTCAGTGATCACCTCTAGGGCCAAGTCAAGGGAAGCCCCGGGGTCTGCCAAATACAACAGGATATCACCCGCCTATAGACTTATCTTTTCCTCGAAGTCTCCAACCCACAGACCCGCCATGGCAGAGTGTGCTCTGATCCGTATAGCTAGGGGTTCCTCATCTGCCTATAGACTTATCTTTTCCTCGAAGTATTCAACCCACAGACCCGTCATGGCAGAGTGTGCTCTGATCCGTATAGCTAGGGGTTCCTCATCTGCCTATAGACTTATCTTTTCCTCGAAGTATTCAACCCACAGACCCGTCATGGCAGAGTGTGCTCTGATCCGTATAGCTAGGGGTTCCTCATCTGCCTATAGACTTATCTTTTCCTCGAAGTATTCAACCCACAGACCCGTCATGGCAGAGTGTGCTCTGATCCGTATAGCTAGGGGTTCCTCACCCGCCTATAGATTTATCTTTTCCTCGAAGTCTCCAACCCACATACCCGCCATGGCAGAGTTTGCTCTGATCCGTATAGCTAAGGGGTTCCTCACCCGCCTATAGACTTATCTTTTCCTCGAAGTATCCAACCCACAGACCCGCCATGGCAGAGTGTGCTCTGATCCGTATAGGAAAGGAAAATTACCGATGGGTAAGTGTACAATTTTCCGTTTTCCTGACGCCAATACATGGCAGCATACAATGGGTATGGCTCCGCCCCAGCCATTGTATGCTGCCATGTATTGGCGTCAGGAAAGGAAAATTACCGATAGGTAAGTATACAATTTTCCGCTTTTTCTCCTTCTCTAATGTCACTTTGCTGCAACGAATGAAACGAATAAGAAACCGAACGAACTACCGCTAACGAATCTCGGAAAGGGAAATTCGGATTCGTTTGCATTCGTTATATCTGTAATTCGGATACATCGGAACGGAACAAATCGCACGTGTCTACTGGTGATTAATTGCTGTTTGTATTTTGTTACTTCCTGTCTCACTGATAATGGTGACCGGGACAAAAAAAAGGTAAAATATCCACAAAAACAATAAAAAAATCTATATATTGATATATGACAGGAAAAAACTTTGCTAAGGAGCTTTCAATTGTTTTGTTAAATCTTAAATATGATCTCTTTAATGTACAAATATTCCCATTCTGGATAATGACACAATCTGAACATAAGACTGTAATGGGAAGGGAGACATCGTTATATGAAGTGTATATAGCACAGTTACTGCGTCTGAACATTAACCGTGACCACGCCCCCTCTGGATAGGAAATCGTTAAAGCGCCTCTTCCATAACAACGTTTCCCAGTCTGTGATGGCTGGAGAATCTTCGTATCATCCACTGTAGGGACCTGCGGTGGAATGTCCGCGGGTCGTAGTGGCTTCTGTACAATAATGGCGGGATTGCGCTGTCTGCCGGTAAGCCGCGGCGTCTTCGTATATCACTTGCACTTGGAATGGGCGGCTGCCAGAACCTTGCGATCTTTTTTCCGGTTGTATCGCCGTACCAAGCCGCCGCTGCTGGTCACAAGTCCGTCTCCCGCCCTTAGCCGCCCGCTGACCGTCCTCTGAATGGAAGGCGGTAACTCCATGCGCTTGTGGAAAATCCGCCCCATGATGATGTACCGGCCTCCTGATCACAAGAGATGAAACATTGGGAAGTGATTAGAGCGGGAAGAACCCCCGTCCAGAGCAACCAAACAAATCATCAGAAATCCAGACCTGATGGCGGGAATGTCATGGACGATGGATCGATCGGGAGAATCTCCATTCCACATCCTCGCAGGATTTTTAGCTTCTGGATTGCAATTTTGACACAACATGGAATTAAAGGAGAACTATGAGGTGAGTGATTTCCAGTCGGCCTCGCAGTTCTAGCCGACCTGTGACAATGAAACTGTCACACGTCGGCTCAATAGATTGGGAAGTGAGCGAACACATACCGTCGCTCGCTCACTTCTCGATCCTGTCCCTGCAGAGAGCTGTGACTGTCACTCACGACTTCCTGCAGGGATTCCCCACTCCGCTCCTCCACACAGTGCTGACTGGCGGAACGGACGGGGGAGGGGGCGGGTACAGCTGGCTCTGCCACTAGATAGGCAGAGCCAGCTGTCAATCACGCAGCTGGGTGGATCCAGACAGTAATGTCGGGATCCGCCCCGGCTGTGGCGGTCTCAGTGTAGCTCGCGGTATACTGAGCTTTGGGTCGCGGGAGGACGCTAATTTGTGTCCTCCCGTAACCCTTAGGAGAACTATGGGGAAATGCCCTGACCTCATAGTTCTCCTTTAATAGTGTGTTTACCCCATAGACCTGTCATGTGACTGGCCAACTTTAAGGACAAAGCATTCAGATTTGGACATGACGCTCTTATCAGCAGATTGGTTCCAAATCAGCCGATGTGATTTGTCTGGATTTGTTTTCTCATTTTGTCTCTCATAGTTGAGGTCTACCTATGATGCCAATTACAGGTCTCTCTCATCTTTTTAAGTGGGAGAACTTGCACAATTGGTGGCTGACTAAATACTTTTTTGCCCCACTGTATGTACCGAGCTGGACATGGACCACAGTAGGAATGCAGGTGAAACCTTTGATTTGGTAAACGGAACCTGTTTTCCATGCCTGAGTGTTTCCAAGGGCTTGCACCTCCAAATACATTCACTTTGCCCCACAAAGGATATTATCACCTCCATTTTCTACTATGTTCTTATGGGATCAGCAATCATTGATCCTCTTTAAAGTGTAACACTAGAAGGTTTCCCATTGGGGATTTCTAGTCTCTATCACTGTGGTCACCTGGTCAGCGTTGTGGGGCTTCCTTTAAGATTATGATGTTCCTGATAGGCTGAACACCACATATCCAATGACACAGCATATGAGAATGGGTTAGAGAAGCATTAGACATGACCGCCATTGTACAGTTCCCTTTCTTCTATAACACAAAGTTAAAGGGGAACCCCGATGGCTTACATCACGCCCTGCCTCCAATGCAGCTGACAGAAATGAATGCATCTATACCAATCATCCGAGGGTCTTCTGTCCAGTCCAGTCATGTCAAGGGTCTCTGCAGTGGTAGGTGACCCTGAAGCCTGCTGTGAATGTCTCTCACATAATGGCATCAGTGCCATTTGGATCAGTGAGCCAAGGCTGCTGTAATGACACACCTCCCCCCCAGGGGGAGTGTCCATGACAGCCTGGGGTCACAGGAAGTAGAATGCACGAGCGTGGGCCTCATTCTGCCTAGAAGACTCATAGCATCCAGTGATGGACAGGTATAACTGTAGGGAGCAGCGGCAGATTGGAGGTGAGTATGGTGGCGGAATAGCTTATTTTATTGTCATTTCTAATTGGCTTACAGGGCTATTCACAGAAAGGGGTGAAGAGTTTGGAGGAGGAAGGAGGAGAAGGGAACTATCTAGGACAACATCGCTGAACTGGAAAGTGAGCTGAATTGGATAATTTTTCCACATCGGCGATGTTGTCCTAGATTGTTCCCTTCTCCAAACTCTTCACCCTTTCGTGAATAACCCTGATAGTGTTCTCGGTTTTGTTGCGGCGGGGTGTTAGGCTGCGCTAGCTACCGATGAAAAGTAGAAAGCTTAGACTTGACTAAACTTGGTGTCACGGCTGGAATAATGGGCCAGGTGTGGAACCCCTTGGCAGGGACGAATAATGTCCAGAAAGCGCAGTACAAAAGTATAATCCAGTCGGGTAGTCAGGTCTAGTTCCGGGTCGTGGCGGGCAGCAGGAATCGTAGGATCGAAGGGTCAAGCAAAAGGGTCGGTAGCCGGGAAGTCAGATCAAACAACAGGTTCACAGGAGGGAGCTGGGTGTTCACCATGAGGTAGAATAACTCAGCAATGAGTCAAGGCTCTGACCAGCTTTAAATACACAGGGAACCCAGGACCGCCCCCTGGCTGCCGGGGCAACCAGGAAGCTTCCCCAGTCAGAGTCCAATCACAAGGCTGAGGGCAAGTGGTGAAGGCGGAAGTCCTCCCCCAGCCTGAGTAGCACCTGTGGCTTGGAATGGCGCAGGCGCACTACGCGCACACGTCCGCGCCTTCCCCACCCGGCGCGCGACTTGCGCAAGCGCACTGGCCACACCAGCGCCAGATGCCCTGACGGGGGGAGGAGGAGCTACCTGTGCCCGATGCCCGCGCCTGCGAACCTGACAAGGGGGCTATCCAGTGGGTCCCTGACACTTGGAAATAAATGCATTCTTTCTTCAGGTCAGCTCCATGGACATGGGGTTAGTCTTTACCGTACATGGAATTGTTTCGGATGCGTATGGAGATGGTTAAAGGAAGTGATGTACCTGGGTTTTAGGAAGAAATAATCTGATAGGTGTAGAAAAGATTGGACAGGAAGACGAGAATTGTGCAGTGTGTTCTCACCGAGTTTGAAGTCCAGGCAGGACTTGGGGCAGTTTAAATGGTCTACAGCCAAGACTTTGACCCTGAAGAAAAAGCCGTCCGGCGTTATGTAGAGACGATTGATCTTGTATAGCCCGCCGCTGTTCACCAGTATGGTAAGAAGCTGGATCCCTTTGCCAAGGGTGTCTATGTCATGTACAATCCCATTCACCGCTGTAAGATGAGAGAACACACATATCAACCACTATAATGGGCGATTACCAACCTCCATCTGGTCTGGAATTCTGGGGTTTATCTCAGAAACATTTCGGTCTACTTACCAAAGTCACTGTTACAATACGCGTCCCTTTCATCTCTGTTTTTCTGGCAGTCCAGCTGACAGCTTCTTTCTTTACTCTCAAATTCTACAAAATAAACCCGAGAGAGAGAAGAACATGCGTCAATTCTCCTTCGAAAATCAGGTATCCTAATATGCCCCAAAGCTGGTCACACCATGTCTTTATGGAGCTGGTGTTGTACACAGAGGAACAGAAAAGGGTCTTCACCAAACTGGTCACACCATGTCTATATGGAGCTGGCTTTGTACACAGGGGACAGTCATGGTGGAACAGAAAAGGGTCTTCACCATACTGGTCACTATGGAGCTGGCTTTGTACACAGGGGACATTCATGGGGGAACAGAAAAGGGTCTTCACCAAACTGGTCACACCATGTCTTTATGGAGCTGGCTTTGTACACAGGAGACAGTCATGGTGGGAACAGAAAAGGGTCTTCACCACACTGGTCACACCATGTCTGTATGGAGCTGGCTTTGTACACCGGGGACAGTCATGGTGGAACAGAAAATGGTCTTCACCAAACTGTGACCACAAGGAAGAGCCCAATTGTCTACAATGACTTTGTATGATGTAGGATGAACAGAACCTTCACTGGAGACACCTGAACTCAGTAATATATGGGGGGGGGTCTACATAGCTTTGGCCATATAGTGTATGATGATCTGCTCAGTCAGTTTTCATGAAAGTAGGGGAGAAATATGGAATAAATGGTCACAAGTACAGTGTAGTAGTAAGATGAAGGTACCTTTCCGAAAGCCATGAAAGTGGTAGAGAAGGCTGGACGGTTGGCGGTTGGTCATCCAGGCCGGCTTACTGGAGTTATAAGAAAGTTCTATGAGTTTCTGAAGATTAATCTTGCCTGGCCGATTATGTTCCAGCTCCAGTAATATGTTGGCTCCACCACTGCTGAGCTCGGGCGTGGTGTCGGATTTGGCGGCATGATGGTTACGAGACACAGAAGCCGAATCTAAGTTTCTGCCGTTGAGCAGTTTGTGCGCGTCGGTGAATTCATTCTCCTTAGGACGAGCGGGCAAGACGTTAGTCGGAAGTCTGTTACCGGGGCCAACGCCGTGTTTCCGAAGTCCCGTGTTATTGTCCACGGCCACTTTGGCCTTTGTCTTTTTATCCGGAGCCATCATGGCCGCCTTCCTCTCCTCGGGTGTTATGGGGCGGGTTGCAGAGAGGAGGCCTTGGTTGGGGAATCTGTGTAGAGAGATGGTCCATGGAATGTCCATCTGATCCTCCCATTGACTTCTAGGCGGGTTCCTTTCCAGGTTCCACGTTGAGTTCTGACGCTCATCTGTAAGAGAGGACAAAAAAGTGGAAGACTTGTCAAGTGTGTATACGGTGCTGATGTTACCTGGGGGGGGGGTATTTAATCACCACCATGTAAATCTTGAGATAGGTGCTTTGGACCGGTCTGTGGTTGGTCCATTGATGGTCCAATTTCGGGAACTGTGACTACAAGTTCAACAAGTGAACGTTGAAGGAATTTTTTCCTTTATCTCAGATAGTGTGGAGGACTTCAACCCCCGTTTAAGCCTTTGTTACCATCTGTCCCCGTTAGGGGTACCC